AATCAATACGCTCTCTTCTCGTTAATGAAATTTTAATATCACCCTCTGGAGTCATCCACGCACAAAGCATTGAATTTGGTGATAGGTATGTCTCCACTTTCGCTGATCTCTCGCTGTTGTTCATTTTTCAACCAATCATAAAAAACCTTGGTTTTCTTCAGGGCACAATGATTCCTGGAGTTGTAATGTGGAATATGTTTATTGCAACTTGGATAATTTTTAAAATATAATTTTTCAACCCGAGGACAGCCTAAATCATCTAGGTTTTCAATCTTTCGGTCCAAGTACTTGGCCAAAAATTCTGTATTTTCTTTTCCTTTAGCGTAAAAAACGGCACCGGGATTTCTCAGCACAAAACTCTGAAGTATTTGATTCAATTTTATATAAAGATAATCACCGTTTTCCCAATGGAGACCGTGTAAATAATTTGTTAACCAGTTGTAAGCTTTTTGTTCAAGCTTTGGTAGTATATTGAAATTCACTGGAGGTAGGAAAATGAGTCGATCGCTGTAGTCTGAAGTTGTTATTGCTAATTCTTTAACCACAAAGGCGTTTTTCTTGTAACGAAAGCCTTCCACGTCAAGCACAACTGATCTCTCGCCTAGCATTCTAGTAAATGATAAACTTCTGGTTTTTTCAACTTAATGAAAAGGCAGAACGCTATTCCACTCAAATGTCCCAATAAGCTGTTGTTACAGTTCCAGGGCAACATGTAACAGTACGTGGGACCCTGTTGATAAAATTCGTGTATAAATCCGGCCGCATCGTGCAAAATAGCGTGCAATCGTAAAATTTTGGAATTTTTCAAGTATTTGTCCAAGGAAGAGTTATCAATACCAATCAAGCCACCATAAGGTCTCAACTTAATAAAAATGTCGTAGTTAAGGTTATCAGAACTAACAAAAAACAGAGAACATGCAGCTAGAAAATAGTTGCGTCGGTTAGAATTATCAGGATAAGTTTGTTTCAAAGACATATAAATTTCGTGAATTATTTTCAAATCAATAGGAGTTACTCTGCTTTTTTGCAATTTCATTATTTATTTTTTCCAACACCTCTCCAACCTGCTGAATTTCAAGCCAGTGGAAATAAAAGTGACCTTGCAAATACCATTTAGTCTCATTAAGATAACGGTGGTAAATAATTAAATAAACCACCGGAAGTTTTTTGTATTTTGATAGCTTGTTGAAACATAGACGGATTTTTCTCTCCAAGTCTTTATCAACCCTTTTTGAGGTAAAATCAAACGAATAGTCGAATACGTTTTCATAATCAGCAAAATTCAAATCGCTCACAGTACCATACTGTTGGTTTGTAGAAATGCACCAAGAGATTTGTTGAAGCTCACTCAAATAAAATTGTTCTTTGAAAATTAACTCGTATTCTTTCTTTGAAATTTCCTTTGCCCTTTCGAGGAAGACGACGTAGCGTTCATTACAAAATTTGAAAAATGAGTTTTTTTCTGCGGTTGAAAACACTCTTAATTGTAAATGTTCATTATCAATATCTTCAGTACACCAAGTTCCCTCTAATTTCATTTTTCTTATTTTAAAATTTGTCAAATTTATCATTTGGTATATTTTGCCCAGAAACGGCCGCCGCCTTTTGAGAGTAATTTCAATTTACTGCCTTTTCACCATAAAATTTAGGTCAAGTTAAGGAATTAGTTTACTGCTGCCAACAGTTAAGCTACGCTGCCAAATTGGCCGGCGCATTTTTATTATATACCATAAAAGTCAATTCCCCGTTCACTTACAAATTTCAACTAGGTCGAAAGTTCATTTGCCCGAAACAAATATAACAATTAATATGATTCATATAATTAACCAGGACCAATAATTAGGACCCCAAAAATTGGAATTAGAAAGAATTTTGTATCGTGTCCCTTGTTGTTAAGCTAAACTTAGCAAGATCCTAAGTAGGGGGTCTTCTGCTTTTTGGGTGGAAAATTTCTTTCGTTTACAAAATCCTAGGATAGGGGTCCTCCAAAAAATTAAGGACCCCTTTCCTAGGATTTTGCTTTACGTGAGGACCCCCCCCCCCCCTTAGGAAGGACCCCCCCCCCTTAGGATCCGGGACACGATACAATACTACTTAGAATACTATTAAATTTGCTTAAAACAAAAAAAAAGAAAAAAAAAATTTTTTTGAAGAAATTAATTTGTTCATTGAGTTGATTCTTCTGCTAATAAGCAATGGTAGGACATGTGAAAAGAGTCATGAAGCCGGATGAAATTGTGTTTGCTGCTGGGTGGGGACGAGCATGTAGCAAATCAGGACTGAACTGTGACCCACAAGATCGACCTCCTATAACTCTTCAGGTCATTTGAGGTTATGCTCACGATTTTTGAGTTTACAACTACGAATTTTAAGCAAGGATATCTGCTTCTGAGAATTAGGTGAAGAGGGTTTCGATCTCATTTGATCTCAATTTTTCAAAAACTTACATCAGTTTTTCAAATTTCATATGTGTCTCAAGATATATACAAGATAACGCGACCCTTGGGGAGTCGACCCCTTCAGCATCTCAAGAGTCCCTACATTGATACATTTTAACGGCATAATTTTTTGCCGACCGATTCTATAAATTTTATTAAGGCGCCTGTCATACCACGCGGTATGAGAGCTATAAAATACCGAATCCAAACGGATTGATTAACTAGAATCCTCAAATATAACCAACACAAGACAACTGATTCGTAAATCGTTAATTTAACCTCTGAGCTTTCAGCTACGTTTCTTGACTCTTTAACGCAAGGGAAACTGACCAACCTAAATTAATCAACGCAGTGCGTCCATAAATATAAATACTTATTATAAATACGCTTGCCAATCCGGACCGGATGACAGCGCCTTTGAAGCTGAAATATTTTGAAATTTATGGTCTTTATAGTGCTTTCGAAGACCAACAAGTTCGTGAGTGGATTTTTTAGGACCATGAAAAGGTCTGAAAAAATTTATTGTAAAGCTCATAGAGATCTCAATGGAAAGGTCTCAGTAAAAAGATGTTTTAAAAAACCCGCTTCTAAACGGACTTAGATCCTTGACATTTTCGGAAGATTCGTTAATGTACTTGTTTTAGCACGTGAAATTGAAAGTGTCTGATTGTAATAAGGGTGACAAAGTGTTCTGTGCGGGCGGGTATGACCAGCAACGATACCCCAAGGATTCCTGTGTCGGGGATTCTGGAGGACCCTTAGAGTGCACAGACACAAATGGTGAGGTTAAATTCTATTGTCTCCCAGAAAACTATAGACCAGTAAAAACACTGCGCAGTTTTAGGGAGATTTAATACATATTTCTTGGTTCTCTGAGTAGTTGAAGAGAAATGGGTTGTATGTAATGATTGGGCGCTCAAAATAGAGCAAAATGGCTATCCGAACCACAATCAAAGGGTCTCAGTTTGCGACTAGTTTATATTGAAAATCCATTTTGGCCTTGTTTGAGAAGCAATCGCATGGTTTAAGTCTTCCAAAAACTGCCCAAATAAATTTTTGCTGACACAATTTGGATATTTTCTGTTATACGGCCCAAAAAAGCCATATTGTTAATTGAGCTTCTGCTTTTAATAAAAATATTTCGAGTGAATCAATTTCAGCCAATCAGATTTGAGCATTTTGATTCGTTTTTCAAAATAGCAAAACGAGCAGTTTTGGGCCATATAACAGAAAATAGCCCACAATTTAAACAGGAGATCAATTTAATTACATTTGCTGACATGATCATTTCCAATTTTTTTCAGGAAAAATTTTTCAATGTGGCGTTGTGTCTAGTGGTCCTACGCCCCCCGATTGTGGCCGGTCACCGGGTGCTTACGTCAATCTGGCCATCCCGGAGATCACTCAGTGGCTGCGGGATGTCGGGAACGGCACTTCAAAGTACAGAAAGGAGAAGAGTACTATCGATGATACTGATGGTCCATTGTCCTCTTTCAAAGAAAAGAGGTGGGAATTAAACCATCATGTCTACAAACTCTTATTTAATTTTTACGCCCAAAATATAATCATTCGATTTAAGTCATTTGATTGATATAACAAGTCAAACAAGTCAAAATAATTGATAGATTGATAGAACCCGGGTCGAGATCCCGCTCAAAAACCGCTCAAGATTTGAGCGGTTTGAGCGGTTTTCCAGCAAGATTTGAGCGGTTTGAGCGGTTTGGGCGGTTTGGGCGGTTTTTATGGAAAAACCGCTCAAACCGCTCAAATCTTGCTTAAAAAACCGCCCAAAAACCGCTCATTTCCTGCGATAATTTTTGAACGGTTTTTCAAGCAAGATTTGAGCGGTTTTTGAGCGGTCTTTGAGCGGTCTTCCCGGGTCGAGGTCCCAGACTCAACGATTCTCTTCTCTGCAAAACTCGAACGAACACGTTCATCCAGGGGCGACCAATATGTAGTAATTTTCCAAAAAGTGCCCAAAAACAGCATTTTTGACCAGCTCTTCACGTCAACAACCCCACCCCCCCCCCCCCAACGTACCCCCCCTCAACGTACCCCCCAACCCACGACGTAACCCCCTCACGTTTAACCATCCCCCCACGTAACCCCCAACCACGACGTGCCCCCTCTCTCTCTAGTTAGGGGACATCTAACTCTAGTAAGAGGTGGGGGGCAGCTACGTATAATTAAGAAACACGTAGTATTATTGTGGACTATTAAGCGGAAACAGGGACTTATCATAATCCCTCGTCTTATCCAAGCCAATATGAACATGATGACATGAAAGCAGACATTTGGCTGCTAATCGAACGTGTTTCGTTTCTAGTTGGTTAACAGAGAGCAACACACGGTGAATACCTAATCTGAAAATGTTTTAGTAGGCCGTCATTCCAATTTTATGGTAATATTTAGAGCACGTCATGCAATTCACATGCAAATGTGGACTCCTGGATATGTATGTATTCATTTCCCCAGTTTTCAGGGCAGCATGGCGTAACGGATAAGGCGTCTGTCTTCGAATCAGAAGATTGGGGGTTCGAATCCCTCCGTGGTCGACTATTTCTTATTAAATCTTGCGCGGTTTTTGAGCGGTTTTTTTAGATAAACCGCTCAAAACCGTTCAAATCTTGCGCGGTTTTTGAGCGGTTTTTTTAGATAAACCGTTCAAAAACCGCTCAAACCGCTCATTTTGAAGCAAGATTTTGAGCGTAATTGTCTAAAAAAACAGCTCAAACCGCTCAAATCTTGCTTCAAATTAGGTGAAAAATCTCGACTCGGGAACACATCAAAAGATTAGTTAACGTGTTGTTGGTTGGATCGTTGGTGTTGATAAACCGTTCAAAAACCGCTCAAACCGCTCATAATGAAGCAAGATTTTGAGCGTAATTGTCTAAAAAAACCGCTCAAACCGCTCAAATCTTGCTTCAAATTAGGTGAAAAATCTCGACTCGGGAGATAAATAAAAGTCGACTCATTAATTTTTTTAAAAAGTTTAATTGATGCAGGTTTTTTCCAAAATGCTAATAATACGAATATTGTTCAGCTAAGTGTGCTTTTCAAAATTCTGCAAGTGCTTCCCAAAACATTTTTCCTTTTTGCAAGCCTTAAGCTGGTTATATAGTCTGATTATACAATAAAAAAATAGCGTTGGTTGGCTGAAAATGGTCGAAGAAGTCGAAAAATAGAGCCAAAATGTGGACTGTTATGGTCGCTTCGACCCCTTCTAATAATCCGCCACTGATCAAAAGGACGTTAGATACCACTTTGAAAGACTGGATATATGTCGCGGGTCTCAACCCTTTGCAGCAAAAAGTTCATCTCGACAATTATCCATGTTGAACAAATTGATATTTTGGATTCAAAGTATTTATATTCATCTTGATTATCATCGGCAATTTTTCTCAATATTTTATACATAAATTTAAGTAGTATAAATGATTTCTGCGATTTAATTTAAGTACATTATTCACTCTTCGCTCTTAAATCGATCTTCTTTTGCTGTTTTTGGGTTTTCATAGACAAATATTACAACACAAAGTAGTAGCAAAACTATTCCGGCACAAACTAAAGTCAACCACACCATTCCAAAGTTCCATGTGGGTTCTGCATTTGAAAACTGGGTTGCTTCACTATTTGGAATGCTCGTCAGTATGCTCAAAAACAGTTCAGTCACTTTTGATTGGTCGTTTTTACTCGGGTCGTTCTCGGCCTCTTTGAAGAGGGGGTCGTACGTGACTTGCATCAAAATACCGCTGATTAAGTTAAGACAAACTAAAACAAATTTTGGGTAGAAAGTTAATCCAAAATTTGAACCTTTCTGTGATTAGATGTAGTTTTTGACCTCAGAATCAATTTTTGTAATTTTGTTCCAGTCTCAATTTTTTGTTAGAGTTGTGAAATATTTTCGATTGATTTTTTTCAAGTTCGGTAAGACTGAGCGCTTAAGTTTTTTAAAAGATAGTTTTTGCCGTTTGAAAGCGCTTCACGCTATTCAGTGGCGTTTTTATTAGGAAAAAACAGATATTTTGAGCACTTTTAAAAAATGTTGACCAAACAATTGCATTTTTTGGCGCGCGCTCCCCCTTCAAGCTTAGTTATATTGGCAACTAAGGCGCCTTTGGAAATATTTTGAGGTCGGCCATCCAAAAATGGATCTCGTAAAATTATACCAAAGGGGGGATACTGTGAAAATTTTTTCAACCAGAATTGAGGAGGGAAGAGGGAAAGCGGTAACCCTTACCCCCCCCCCCCCCCCCCCCCCCCCCCCCTCCCCCACCCCCAGCACACTACTGACCACAACTCAACTGAATGAGGGGACCGTTTTTCTTTCAATGGGCGGTCAATGTGAACGTGAACAAAAAACGTTTACTTGTACAAATTTTCAGATGGGGGAAAAGAAAAAGAGCCCAATTCTAATTTGAAAGCAGCTAAAACTAAAAATAAGGATAACCGGTTGTTGTGCAATTAGCACAGAATGTTCTGACCACATTCGTAAAAACTACAACAAGAACAACACTTTTTAATCTTCAACTTAGCGTCGTTCCTTCTGCGTGGTGTGATTATAGAACTATACAAACGCGTAAAAGTTAGTGAATTAGGTATAAAATACTACAAATATTTTTGAAAAACTAATAAACAAAAAATTGAAAAAAAATTCCAACATTTTTCCTAATTTTTTGCACTATTAATTTTAAATTTGTATGAAAATTTTTATGGGCCAGAAAGCGTTTAATGAAGTATTAGGAATAGTTTTAATCTAAATAAAATCAAGTTTTTTTAGCCTAAATGGCCAGTATTTATATATAACGAAGGTTACTCGATCGCTTTACTCGTTCGAAATTGGACCAAAACTCAAAAATGTTGAAACGGTTTTTCTCAACACAGATTTTTTTTGAAATTTTACAATGTCGTTCGAATCAAGACTGAAAGGGTTTTGATAAGATATATCACTCAACCCAACCCGATGATTATTTATGGTACCTGATTTTGCGTGCAAAAAAAGGAGAAAAAAAACTTAAACAAACGCGAATGCAAAGTTCCTTCACATTTTTCAATTGGTGGGAACAAAAAATAGAAAGAAAGATAAAACAAGACATTTAAATGAACTGTACAAGCAAGACTGGCAAACAGTATCTTAACTACATGCAGCCTGCAGTCTTTCGTCTCCACACATCTGCCGAACTGCAGTCCCACTAGTACCATGAGGATCAGCTGGATCACACCTGTGACCACCATCATTATGCCAGATGAGAAGTTGAGAGAGACGAATTGAGGACCATAATCTGTCTCACTCTTTGTGTCTAAATGTTTGAAAATGACTAGAAAGAAAGTTCAATTTAAAACTAGAAAGATGAAAACCCAAGGAATTTCCAAAAAAAATTGTATGCGATCTTTATCATAAATAAAATAATAGTTTTTTTTCAAAAAATAAAAACAACGGAAAGAATGCAATTTTAGGTGTCGATAAGCAGGAACATGGCAATAAGATAAGATAAAAGTTCATTTTGCCTGGGAACAGAAATAATCGAGAAAACATGAGGAGAAATTTCACGCTTCAAAAATTCCTATCTGTTTTGGTGCAAACGGTTATTATTTAAACAAAACTTGGAAAAACGACGGTAGCCAGCAGAAATTTCATAGTTTCTTCTAGTACCTGATATTTAGCGTGAATGATAAACCCAGCAAACAAAAATATTGCCTTTGTTCACTAACGTCCAGTTTCCTACTTCTCCAATTTACCTTTACTGATTTGCAGGTGCGCTTCGCAAAAGAAAACTATTCGCAATGAGGTTCCATGGATAATAATCGATTATAGAAGATTTTCATGGTCTCTCTCTCTATCTCTTTATAAAACTCTAAACAAATTGAATATAATGGATAAAAAAGGGGCATTATATTTTAATGGATTATAATAAATTAAAATGGATTATAACAAATTTTTATGAGTAAGAGCCTGGGATTTCCAAAACCTTAAAATCAAATATTGAAAACTTGAACGTTGCATTTGCTAAATTGTGTTTTATATTTGGTTACAGCAACAATTTGTAATGTTTTCTACTTGTCTTTTTTTTACTTGTCCCCACCTCAACCTAAATACTTTACACTAACTACCACCACTCTTACTTTCTTCTGAAAGAAATTAGGTGCATATATGGTTTTGCAAAGTTTAACTAATTGTGCGTAGCCTTAGAAATCGAGTAGGTTGTGAGTAATGCAGAAAAAGCTGCAAACAATGCAGAAAATTTTAAAAATGTTTTTAGAGAATATAATCCATTATAATCCTTTATAATGGATTTTAAATGGATTATAATCGTTTTGCTTTCTCCGAAAATAATGGATTATAATGAATTATAATCGATTGCGTGGTCCCAAAGTGTAATTATAATAGATTATAATGCCAACATTTGTGACCACGAAAATCGATTATAACCAATTTTTACCCAAGGAACCTCACTGCGGGTAATCGAAAGCAATTAAATTTCTCCAATACATTAGTGTCATAATTAAAATATTGCCTATTTTCCCTAAATCAAGGAAATTGTATAAATTTTGAGCAATTTTTGAGGACTTTTATATTTCAGCTTTTGAGTAGTTTCCTTTAGTTGCTTCAAATTCATATTTAGAGAAGCTAAATTGAAGTAAAACTAAAAATTAAATTGATCTTAGAAAAATTTTGGCAGAATAATTGGAACAAAATATATTGAAATCAGAGAACCAAAAAAATTGGGTTCGTTTTCAAATAAGCGAAGAATTTTTTTTCACTAACTATTTGCTTCAAATTCATATTTAGAGAAGCTAAATTGAAGTAAAACTAAAAATTAAATTGATCTTTGAAAATTTTTGGCAGAATAATTGGAACAAAATATATTGAAATCAGAGAACCAAAAAAAATTGGGTTCGTTTTCAAATAAGCGAAGAAATTTTTTTCACTAACTATTTTTTCATGTTAATAGATTTTCCTATTGAGTTGATTGCAACATATCTAAATGAACGCTTATTCAATGAGGTTAAATATTTTCAATTTTTATACAATTTTGTAAAATTGGCGGCACAGTTGCTTTTGCCAGTTACACATTCATTAGATCATCACTTGAAAAGTCTAATTAAATCAAAATAACTAAATTGAAAAAACTGGAGTCAATTCTTAAGCATGTTAATGTTATCACAAATTTAGATCTGCAATTTTTGGACCATTCAAAGCAGTCAACTACATTGATTTGTAAAAGCAGTAAGATTAACTACTCCATAATCAAAACGCCTGTAATTTTTGCATAATGATAGCAAACTTATTGCATCCCAAATTAAAGTTGCCTAAAATAGTTTCTCTCAATAAAATTTGGGTAATGAAATATGTTCATTTCAATTTTCCAAAAATTTTGTATAACTAAAAACTTAGACATGGAACATTGACAGCTGGTGGCCAGGCTCGTAAATTAAACTTAACTGACAAACTTTATTTTAAAAAAAGTCCGAATAAATTTTTCGAATATTGGGGGGGGGGGGGGTTAAATGTCTCTTACCAGAAAACTCATTGCAGTTTAATGAATGTTTGAGAAGGAAAAAATGAGATCAGTTTTTTTCGATTTTGAGACAACAACACTAATTTTTTTTTACCCGCCTTATGCTATAATTCCTTCGAGTCACTTATTTATTTGATTGGCACTATAAAGTCAATTTATTACAAAAAACTGCTTTTTAGCGGTTTTTGGTTCTTAAAAAATGTAAGCCGTCTCTAAAAATCCACAAAACAAAATGAAACTAAATAAAATTTTAGTAAAACTTAGAAAAAAATAACTACTAACACAGTTTCTACAAAAAAGACATCTTGTACTTCAAATGTATTAATGCATAACGTTCTCATTTTAAACTGAATAAATAAAATTAGGTTGACTAGGTTTTAGTGATATTGATCAATCTTGTAGAAAATTTAGCAATAATCTAGTTGTTCCAACCTTCGAAGAAAGTGGCAGAATATTTGTGCTCTGGGTGTTTTTTTCTCCAGACAAATTTGGTCTTTGTAACTAGGAAATTTAGGCAAAAGTTTTTAATCAGCCGGAATATATTATTTCCCTGAGCTCAAATTTAGAAAAAAAATATTTTACGTGTAATTTTTTTTTGTAAAGTTATGGGCGTTTGAAAATTGCTATTTGGGTTAATTTGGGACAATTAACGGGCGATATAGTTCGCGCTATTAAGGCGTAAGCGGAGATTTAATCGCTCTTAGAAATCTTTCCAAATTGTTGATGTTATTTGTCATATTTGTTACGCTACTAGGTGTAAAATCTATCACTTTGTACTTTTTATAGCAAGTAGTGGATGATTTTAAAACAATCTCAATTTTCAATTTTGATTGAAGAATTCATCATTTTTTGAAAGCAAACGCTGCTTCATAGATTTTAAAGGCAGTTGTAACATTAAGGAGGGCTTCGTCCTGATACGAGCAGTTTTGTTCAAATTTATTATTAAAAAGAGTGTATCGATTATATATCAGTCTGTTTTATCAGTAACTTAAGAAAGTAATTTCGCCGTAAGTTTTGATTGAATTTGCCTTTTTTGTTTTTAATCAAAAACTTTACATTAACACTTTCCGTTTATCTAAAAGTTTCGTCCTATGTGAAGTTTGTCAAACTGCAGTGTTGTTCATCAATAAAATAAGATTGATTGACCAAAGTTTCAAGTATCTCTGTTACGGACGACACTGAAAAAAACTTAAACATTTGAGCTGGTCATTTTGTTAAATGGAAATGTCTAAAAATTTTGTTATGAAAAACGCTTTTACAGCAAATTTGCGCATTCTTTTGCTTTTTTTCATTGTTTAAATGAGTTTCTTTGCATGTTTGAATAAAAATTTTGCATATTATAGCCAGAAAGTATTTATTTGGAGGCATATATTGGCATATATTGTTCAAAATTGTTCAAAATTTACACTTCAAAAGAGCACTGTTTTCCAGGAGCTGCAAAAAAATAACAAAGTAAAAAAAAACTTTTCCAAGAATTAATTTATAAAAAGTTTTTTGGACAATATATTTGAAGAAATTCTCAGCTTTGAAAATTTGATACGGCGTTTTCGATACTGCCAGCAAAATGGTAGACAAAAGTAAAATTAAATTTTTACTCTGAACTTTGATGACAATTTACGAAAAAATTACTGAGAATTTTAGCATAACTTTATACGTCTCACGACCGACAGCAAATGATCTGAAGTGCCATCTCTGAGAGTCTCAATTTTTGATTAAAAGCACTGACCAGTTTTTTCCGGGTCTGAAAATGCCAGTTTTCATCATTTCTGATATTTTTCTATCGCTGTGAAGTTATAACAAACTAAAATAAAGGGTAAAAACTGATCTTTTCAGACCGGGAATAAACTCATAAAGGCTTCAAATCAAAAATTCTGATTTTCACAAAGAGTAATTCAGATTATTTGCTGTCGGTCGATCTAGCAAAATTTGTTAAAATTTTAAGTAATTTTTTTTCATGTAGTTCTGGAAATTAGGCATCTTAGATAAAAAAAAGTCCTTAGTTTGCGTTTAGTTTTGTCCACTAGTGTATTTCTAAGTTTTTCAAATTGAGATACCTGAAATAGGCGAACAATCTTTGCCTTCATCTGATTTTCTTATACATAACCTCCAAAAACCGGCAGTAATTTGGAGCCCTTCCGTCTGGTTGCCCTTTTCAGCCGAAATAGCAATTATGCAGTCGACATGACTTAGCGATGCACATACAAGGGTTATAAAGGCCATGCAAATCGCACACGTATTCAAAGCGAATGGTGCTTCACAGACCATCAAATCATGCAAACAATAAAACTTTAATTAATATCTTGTTGTTGGTTTCAAAAGAGTTCTCAGCTGGTTATTAGTTTGTTCACAGTTTGTTCAAGCATTTACTCAGAAAAGAGGGCAAAACTAACACGATGCATGAAAAGTGTGCATTTTATGATAAATGACTAAATTTCATTTCTTCAGGCATTTAAAACTTACATGGATTTATTCGAACATATTTTAATAGGACTGATTCAAAAACAAAAAACAAGCTTTATGGATGTTAAATTTTAAGCTAAGCTCTGCAATAACTTGAATTTGTTCTGACAAAATGTTAATCTTAGTTTTTGAGGCAGTTTTTTTTATCGGCGCTGAGTTGTAGCCTGTCTCATTTCGACTGTTTTCCGAAGGCGTGCTTCGGTTTCGTCCTGCAGTCGCTGTATTTTGTACGTGTACTTTGGCTGAAAGAGATCTGTTTTGCGCTCGTTTATGCACTGCTCGTATAAATTTCGGCCTCCTTGGAACGACTTCGTATCGCCAGCTATAAAAAAGACAAAATTTTTTAATCCTACTTTTTAAACACTATGTTTTTAAAATCAAGAGTTTGCACAGTCAATTAAACTAAACTAAAAACGCAGTCAGCAAACTGAAAGTTGGTCAATTTTAGAGTTCTTGCTTAAATCTCTGCGAAGAGTTTCTAAGTTTCTAGAAAGGTTGAGATAAAAGGTTTCAAAACGTTACTATTATGAAAACAATTCCTTCTTCAGTTTAAATGAAATATGAACATCAGATATCAAACTGTATCAATTGTTGTTCCGAAATCCATTTGAAGTGAAGAAAACGAGAAGTCAGAGCTAGGCTATCCAAATATTCTGTGCTACTTACTTTTTATTTCTTGGAAACATTAAATAAAGTGACAGCTCTTGATTCAAATCTCCTCCCACCGCACATACAAATCTTTTTTTTTTGTGCATAATTACTAGATTTACAGGGTTTTACCAGGTTTCTCTAGTTTAAGTCGGAACAGCACTCCCTGTTTTTTTTTCGACACGCACTCCCCTTCAAAATTAGTATACACTGGCGCCCAAGGCGCCTTTAGAAAAATAACACCAAAGGGGGGACCCCTTGGTTGGTGAGGGGGTCGAATCATGTTTGTTCTTACTGGGCAGAGGTTCGTTTGCTTTTGGCAATCCCAGAGTGTGATGCGGTCTATCCCCGTGAGTCATCAGCCAAGTCGCATCCCCCCTCCTCTCCTTAATTCCCTTTTTGGCCTCGTAGTCCTCCACCTCGTTGGGCAGCAGTGGAGTGCAGAGGGGGTTGTACCCTGCATTGCGACATCTGGCCTTCATGAACAGTGCACGCATTTTCTGCAAAAAAGCCTAAGTGTATAATGGTGCTTTTGCAGTTTCCCACCCCCTCCCATTTGGTAAAACTAAAAAAATACAAAACTGAAAAAAGACCAAACTTTTAGAACATCAAAAGAGCCCTTGTAATCTCATTAAATGTAATTTTTTCAGCAAAACTTACTGCTTAATTTTCGCTATCAATTTCTATGATAATGAAAGAGAAAGTTCTAGCTTACCGTGAGTACAACGATGCTATTATTTTTCCAGAGGGTGGGAGATAAAGAGTCACACCTTGTTATGAAAGAATAGAAAGAAAGGCTCTTTTTCCTCCCCCCCCCCCACCTGCACAATTTTATTAGTAAAATTTTGTTCACGATATCCGATTGTTACGAACATTGGAATGCGAACTAATTAGGCCATGACAAACATATTTGGTCTTCATGTTTAAACTTGTAAAATTCCTCGTTACATCATAAAATTAATGTTTATGTGAGATGGGGGGGGGGCCGAAAGAAGCCACAGTTTTATTTCACCTCTGCGTGTTGGGTGATTTCGCTGACGAAGTTGTGCACTAGTTGGTTGATGTACTCTTCGGTCTGTTCGGAGGGGACTTTCCTCTTGCTCTCCATCACCAGCTGTTTATACATTTGAGTAATGGCCACTCCGTCCAGAGCCCAGCTACGGAGACCTGAAACAGAATTGCGGATTGAGGGAACCCCCCAACCTGTTGGGGCTCTTTTTCCTTTTCCCCCACCTCACACGAGCATCAAATGTATGATGTAACGAGTGGTTTTACAAGGTTGACTATGAATACCAAACATGTTAGTCATGGCCTAATTAGTCCGCATGTCAATTTGTGTAACAATTGGACATGGTGAATGGTGAACAGCTTTTTTAGTCGTATGAAGTAGCATGTTGGAGAGGGGAGGGAAAAGAGCCTCAAAATTGTAAAATGGGGAGCTTGAGAAGGGACTAATGCTAACTGACCTTTCAATTCAGTCTGTCTGTTGATATCGAAATGATGTTTATGATAATTATTGATAGTCTCTTTGAAGTGCATGTCATCACAAGCATGCTGCACATCATCAAACACTTCAACCACACTCATCCTTTCCTTCTTGGTCAGGTAGTATCCCAAATCCCACATGAAGGACAGAAGTTCTTTCCTAAGAGTGTCCACCGTATAATGTGTAGTGTCAGAGGCGTGTGCATGTTCTGTCAAGGACTTGATGTTGTTGCAGTGACTCACACCAACTTCCCGAACTACTTCTTGAGCCGCGGTTCCCATCGTAATATAAAGTAATAATTGGTAAATAGAGATACAGCCTGAAATAGCTCTTTTTAATGTATTTAAAGTTTCGATTTAAAATTTCAATTCCATCCCTAATAATAAAAAAGACCAGGTTCTGCATTTTTGATTAAACATGAAAAAAAGTCCAAACTGAACCAGATCTTTGCTTCAGTCAGCTCGTTTTTTCATGATTCACGAGAAAATTGGTAATGCGTATGTTTTTTTTTAAAAAAACAGTAGTTTGGAAGCTTTTTTAAATGTGATATCTCTACAGCCAGGGCAGGGTTATTTAAAGTAGACTTAAAATAAAAAGAGCTTGCTTGGTAGAAATGGCAAATGAATAATGCCTCTGCTTTTGTTGTTTAGATGGTAATTATAATGGTATGTCTCGTGTAACGTGTCTGTGTAATACTGATACTAGATAGCAAATACGGTTCTTCACTACTTTGAAACAAAATTAGACTCAATCAGAATCAAATAGCACGTGCCGTTTTTCATTATAAATTTGGTATGTTGTTTTGCATTTTTTTTCTAAAATAGAATCCAAGGTGAACTACAAAATAAGATGGAAAGAAACAACAGAGAAACCGAATCCGTGTTTATCAGTGTAGGTTGGCATGGAACCATATTTTCTGTTGCGAACACCGAAACACCAAACTTTGACTTCAGTTTTTTTTCGCAAAACTATGTATAACAAAAACAAACATCATCTTTATCAGTTAAATATTCCTTAGTCTGTTTCAACTTATTTTTTTTAAAATTGGATTAGTTTGAGGGGCTAAAAAATCAACAACAAGCATCACTCGCTGAAAATTTTTAATTTTGATTACAAGAATAATTAATAACAAGACTGCTCGTATCAGGGCGAGGCCCTGATTGTTCCGACTGCCTCTTAAGGTCTATGGAGCAGTACAGTGCTGATTTAAATTATCCGGAAAAAAACGAACAAAACTTGAATTTTCAAACGCGTTTTTCTCAATTTGGGTTGAAATTAGACAAAAAGTGAATAGATCAAAAGTTGCTTAGAATTTCATCAGATTTTTACCCCAAAAAAGGTATATCTTGGCTTTTTTGAATTAATCAAAAATTACGCTGAAACTCTTTTGTTAATTGATGGATTATATATATCACAAGAAGCTTTTTACACAGCCTAACAAATTTCTAGGAGTGTTAAATCTTCTAAAACCTGTATAAGAGAAAATATTTTTGCTTGATAGTCATGAAATGGTTTTTTTTCCATATAAAAACCCAAAATCGTTTCTTGAAAACAAATTTTAAGCAATTTACTCAAATTTTTGGAGGTTTAACTTATCTGGAACTTCGTTGGGCTGTGTAAAAGGCTTCTTGTGATTTATACTCCGCATCAATTAACAAAGTAGTTTCAGCGTAATTTTTTGATTAATTGAAAAAACCAAAATTACCCATTTTTGGAGTAAAATTTTGATTGAGAAACTCGGAGAAAAAATTGCACCATATTAATTCTGATGAAATTCTAAGCAATTTTTTTCTCTTCAATTTTTGTCTAATTTTAACCCAAATTGAGAAAAACGCGTTTGAAAAAATAAAGTTTTGTTCGTTTTGTCCGGATAATTTAAATCAGCCCTGTATTAACACGAAAAAATTGAATGTAATAAAAAAATGAATTTTTTTAATTTGAGATTTTTTGTGAAATTCATCCCCCACACACTTATAAGGTACAAAATGATAAATTTTGCTTCTAGTAGCAAATCAGTTATGGCAATTAAGCTTCCTTCAACCAATTTGGAACGATTTCTGAGACGGATTAAATCTCGGCTTACGCGTTAATAGCGCGAATTGTATCGCGCGTTAATTGTCCCAAATTGGCCAAAGTGGCAATCTTTAAACCCTCATAACTTTTGAAATTTAACCTTAGGACAACAATACCTTTCGAATGATATAAGAAACCCCGTCAAAAATGGCTAGTTAAAAAGCCGAAATTTGTCTGAAGAAAAAAAACCCACCCGAGCTCAAATAATCCTTTACTTCGTTACAAAAGTCGGAATAATAAGAAAAATAGCCAAATACGCAAGTAAAATTTGCGGATCTACTAAACAATTGCCCCCTTTTTAAGAAAGGGCGGAAATGGTTAAGTAGTTTAAAATAACGCATTTCCGACCAATCAGAATGCAGCAAAATTCTAATTCTCAAAAGAAAGCTCAGTGCTAATTTACTGCTTTTATTAAAAGGGGTGGCAATTCTTAAGTAGATACCATAGAGGGGGGGGATTGTTAAGTAGATCCTAACTTTCTTTCAAAACACCCAAAAAATATGACCGAACAAATTTATTGCTTCATAGATTTTTCAAAACAGTCGTTCGTTGCCCGTCAACAACTATATGGGGGCAAGAAATGCCGCATGTTAAATTACATTCATGCCATCAATGCCGCATGCTAATTGTCGCTAATTGTCAATCAATCGAAGTTTTTTTCTAGCTGGCAACTCCAGCTAAAACTTTCTTCCCAAGCTAAGCCAACCCTACAACTCATAGTACAAACAAACACTGAGTTTATGTGGTACGCATATGAGCATTTTGCTGGTTTGCGATACACGAAAATTATAACTATAACCAAGAGAAAGATTTATTCCTACACAAATAAGGGGAAATGGACTTCTGACCCAAAAAAGCTTTATCAGTCTTTTAAATTTTCTAGGTAGAAAAATTGTCAATAATTTTTTGAATTTTTGTGTCGATTTTGTGTTTCGATTCTGTGTTTGTTTTTATATGCCCACCGACTCGAATATATGTCCCGACTTTGAGCTCGACCCCAGAGCTTTCTCGACCATGCGTTTGACCAACCTCGGCTAAAACATAAATCCCAAACCGAACTTATCGAGTCTGGCCTGGCATCAAGCTAAGAGCTCAATAAAAAATTCGCAGTCTCTTCAGAGTTGAATCTTGGGACCAAGTTAACTCCCCCCCCCACCAAAGCCGTTTGAGGGGGGTGGGAGGATGTTTATTTGGTTCTAAGTTAGAAATTTTCAGCCAATCGGAATCGAGCTTTTTACATGCAGCGCTTAGCAAATATAATGCGAATTAAATACTGGGGTGGAAGATCTTAACTTGGTCTATCTGGTGGGGGGGGGGGGGAGGGGAGGATGTTAACTTGATCAGAATCTTGTAGTAATACATTGATCTTGTAGTTTGCTTTAACCTAAGCTTAGTACTCTGACGAAACAGTAAATAAAGTTGCTTTCAAAAAATTAAATTAACAGGCCAAACTGTGTATTTTAAGAGGATTCCGCAACAGGCTAAAACAAAATTGTCAACAAAGCCAATTTTTTTTGATCTTCTTTACTTTTCAGTTTCCACGGACAAATACCTAAAACATTGTATTGCCAAAAATTGCCTCAAAAGCAGGCAATTTTGTAGAATCCGCAACAAAATTTGTGGAATCCGCAATAGTTTTGCGGAATCCGGAACAGTCTGTGGAGCAGTCTCCAGATCAGTCTGTGGACCCGTGAATAAACAATAATATGTGTTTTTGGTAAATTTAAGCTGTTGTGTAATCCGCAAATTGTATGCGGAGTCCGCAAATTGCAAGTGGATTCCGCAAATTATAAGGGGAATCTGCAAACTAAGCCGAATCTGCTAAAAATTGCGGAAGCTGAAAGAGTTAGTTATATTCGCTCGTTGCAGAATCCGCAATAAAACTAATGTGCCGAAAAAGTTTACGTTAAAATATTTGTGCAAAAAATTTGTCGGTGGAATCCACTTATACTTTGGACTGTTTATGAACTTGTCTCTGGATTCCTGTGAACTGCAGACACCAAAATGTGCTTCTATCCAGTGCACAGTTTTGCCTCGTTATGTAACTTGAGTTTTGATTACTTAAAAATGCATTAAATCTCGGTGCGAACAACTGAGTGTCATGGCGAACAACTAAAGTTTTTTCAAGAATGCACAGATGAAATGATTTGTAATTGAACTGTGCGAAATTGTATGAATAATTTTGCTGACTCAATTTTTTGAATAAGTTTGCTATGGATTTGAAAATAAAAGTATCAGCAGAATACCGGGAGGCTGAAACATCGAATTAAAAAAACTCTAATTTATCCGTAATTTAGCTCTACCGACGTTTTTTTGTTTCATTTACGCACCCGCGGTACTTTCGAAGATTTATTGGTTTGAATCATTGAAAACTAAATCATTTTGTCCAACTGGGAGTGAAAAATTGAAGCTAGACAGTTAAAATGGAGAGCAGAAAGGACTCGAGCGGTGAGGAAAAAGATACTTCGAAGGGGGAGGACCATCTGTACTACTTACCAGAACGCATCAGCAAGGTCAGATACGATGGCGTGCACATTACATTTTGGACCAACTCCCCCCACCCCATTTCTCCTCCTCTCACTCTCTCTGTTTGAAACTAGAATCCCGCCACCCAACTATTTAGAATGTCAAAAGGTCTTTAAGTTGCATGTAAATTACTCAATTCCGAATGGCTGAAAATTAATTTTAAGTCAAAATAACATCCGCCCCAAACCGTTTCAGACTCGGATGGTGGATGGCAACTTGGTCCAAAACGGTCTATACGGGCCTTTATAATTCAAAATGTTTATTTTTCAGGATTATTTGCTTCTTCCCAAGAAACATGTTCTGGCATCCTTCGATCACATTCTCAGTGACTATTCAGGTTAGCATTGAGAAAAACTTTAGTTTGAAGTTGTTATTTCAATTTAATTCTGTGATTTGCAAAAGATGCATCAAAAGTCTGCGAGATTGTCTGACGATATAATTTCCTCAACTTTCTAGGTGGAGTTAATTTCGTGAGCGAAGAAATGCTTTTGGACGCAGTTTTTTTTCAGCTCCTTTAGAAACATATGGCATTCATTATTTCATGTTTCCGAACCCTCAACCCTCCAATGTGCATCGAATTGCGAACTTTAAGCGCAAGTCGCTGGGGTTGTAACGTCATGTGCAATACATTTCTTTGTGTATCTTCTCTAAATTTATTGTCTTGATTTTGCATGCAACACTGTAAAAAGCCCAGCTTTTTTCAACAGTAATTTTTGTTACGTCTTCAGGTGCCTTTGGCCGGTTCCAGGCACTCATGATCCTCCTGGTGATCTTACTTGCCATGGCCTTCAAAACTCCAGACATATTACGCAATGCCATCACTCCTCGACTCATTTTGGAAGACATTCAGTACCGTTGTGTGCCTCTGCATAAGAACCTGTCAGCTGGGATGTTCGGCTTCAATGTGATTGACAATGTCTTTCGGAACGTCCGAGATCGATGCCGTACTTTTCAGGTACCCAATAGAAAATTGAAAGTATTTATAATGACAAAGTTAACCGAAAGGAGCACATTATGCTTAATTCAGAAACGTTGAGAAACTTTGTGTCAGCAAAAGCTAGTTTTCAGTGGAATATATGTGTCAAGGGTGTCCTGAAAATTCAGGTATAATATCAATATTTGACTGTAACTGATTGTTCTTTGTAAGTATTT